AATAATTATAATCTGGTGCAGTATGCATATGGATTGACCGTGCGCGGTGCTAATTTGTTTATTCGCGCAATTACGCACAGAATGGAAAATTGTGAGTGAAAATCGTATGCTCTCGAGCACATTTGCAACGCTTTATTTACGGTTAGCTACGCTTCTCCTATGCAACATTAACGTGTTTGTCCACCATCTTTTTCCAGTGTCTACACAGGGTGCGACATCGATCGGTTGACGCCGTCCCCGGGTGACTCTCCGCGCTCTCAGATCATGCCTGGCGCAAGATATGCCATGACTGGTTCTTTCCTGCAGGACCAATTTGTCAGCTCGTATGCCAAGTCCCGCTTTCACCCTGGCGTCGGAGGCGCTCCTGGCACGGACCGCAGCGTCCCACTTAGTAACAGCTTGCTCTCCCCGCAACAAACCGAGGAGACCACGGTGGCCTCCCCGCAGCGATGGTTTGTCACCCCTGCCAACAACCGACTGGACTTTGCCGCCTCGGCATACGATGCTGCCGATTTTGCCGGTAACGCGGCAACCCTTCTGTCGTACGCAGCTGCTGGCGTTAAAGCGCTGCCCCTGCCCGGCGCGGGATGCTCTAACAGACCCCTGGGGTATTACGGCGAGCCGCCGGGGTGGGGCCCCCGCACGCCACCGCAATATTGCAGCAAGTCCAGCTCTGTCCTGTCTTGCTGGCCATCCAACTCCGTGGGGAGCAGAACCTCCTCCACTTACCTGGTCCCTGGCCTCGAGGACGGAGACGCCATCGCGTCAGAGAGGTCACCGCTAGGCGTCGCGGATGAGTCCAAACCCAAAGACCTGTCTGAATCCAGCTGGATAGAAACCCCGTCCTCAATTAAGTCGATCGATTCGAGCGATTCTGGGATTTTCGAGCAAGCCAAGCGGAGGAGGATTTCGCCATCTGCCACGCCGGTTTCCGAGACATCGTCTCCATTAAAATCTGAAATGTTGACGTCGAGGGAATGCGAGAAAAACTGCTCCAAGGACATCGGCTACTACAGCTTTTACCCCCACAGTTAGAAAAACTCGTGCATGGCTCATGTGTTCAAGGATTCACGAGTGACTTATAATCTATTTATTCATATTTATGTGCTTATTTATTTGTTTATTTATTCCTATATCTTGGTCGCGTCGTTCGCAGGACGTCACGCTTCGGAAAAACTTTGACTCGAGCAGAGATGTAAGCGGTTTTCGTTCGCAAATGACATTTTAAGGTTCTAACTGTCAAACCTATTGTAAGTATGAAAGTACTGTACATATTTGTATTCATCTATCCATTTGTGATTCTTCTCGTTGAATGTCGATGTACAATAGGCCTACCTGTAGAAAACCGGATTAGGTTTGTTTAATGTAGGCTGCTTAGACGTTCGTTCGAATAGCTACATATATTAAATATTTTGATGTTTGAAAAAATAAGTCGTACAGGTTGCCGATTCCAGTTGTTACGACGAAAACAATGTTCTGACTGAATTGGAAGTAGCTGCGTACCCGTTGAAGAGCCCGCCAAAAAGAGTCACTCTGACAGGAAATATGGCGGCAGTGTTGCCAGACGTACGATAATTATCGTATTTGTACGATAATTTTGACCTCTGTACGATGTACGATCAATAATGGAAAAAAAATCCCATGTACGATAATTTCATAATTTTGTCAATTCAAATGATGGTAGTTGTAGTCATAGGGCTTCTATATTCATACACGAAATCGGCTCATTACAGACACTCTAAATGCGCTCGTGCGCACCTCAGAGTGTGTTAAGAATGCAGGAGGGTGCCCTGCTTTAAAGGCAACGAGCACTGTTGCGGTCCATGACGGCAAGAACCCCCTCAACATCTGGCAACACACAGGCTTCCGATGACAGCCTCCAGTGCAAACAGTCACTGATTATAATGGTTTCTATAGTATTTTGTCGCACTGCTCGCGTCCAATGTAAACACGGTACGCCTAGTTATCTATTGTGGTAATTTGCAGGTCGTGTCAAAGTTGTTGGTTTAGATAAATAGCTGTATTCTGTAGCCTACGTTTGACTCGTGTACGATAATTTTCTTCCAAATACGATAATTTTGAGCTTCTGGTACGATACTTGGACATTTCCAATCTGGCAACACTGCATGGCGGACGCATGTCTGTCAGAGGTCGGTTTTCATGTAAGCTTATATTGATGTTGCTTTTAGAGTCGCGTCGTCGTGTTCATCACCATCATAGTCCGTAGTTTCATTTTGTGAACGTTTTGTGGACGTATGTTTTTAACCACACCTGCGTAAATCATGTTCTTTTTTGTTTTGTTTTTTTGTTGTAGAGATAAAAACATAGGCTATCATTTCACGTAGGCTATTACCAACCCAGACGTTCATTTGTATTTCATGTTCATTTGTATTTCATGGGCTGTTTTCTCATGAGAAAAACGCGAGTTAGGCCTGCTAATGTGTAAAGGTAATGTAATTGTGATGTGCTTAATTGCAATAAATATGACAGAATGTGAAACCCGGGCGAAGTAGGCTACATAAGATTCCAACTAAGCTGATTCCGAAACCAAATATTTGTTTCATTTTTCTCTAGGCTACCCGTCTTAGAGAGGTATATCGATAACGCCAGTGACAATGTGAATTTAGTTGCCTGTACGATGCATTTTCATAATAAAATGTAGTCATGCAATGCAACAAATCAGAAAATCGACCAGAACAACCTTTTTGGTAGTTTTATATAAGTTACTCATTTAATTAGACTTTTTTTTTTTTTTTTTTTTTTTTTAAATGGGCATAAATGCAGTTGGCTATTATATTTTACAGTAGCCCTAAAGTTAAACGGAGAAGGCACTTAATCAGTGTCATTGCATTAAATAAAATATCAAACCAACTGCCATGCATTAAATGTAGCACAAAATTGTTTCAGATTGTAAAATAAGAGATTCGAAGTTAAGAATGTAACATTCGGACTATTTCTTATTGTCAAATGTAAGTGCATAGCCATGTGGTTGCTCTTGTATGATTAGGGCCAGAAATTAACCAGTTATCGGGCCAGAAATTAACCAGTTATCAGGACAAAAATGCCCTGGATTGTTTTTTTTTTATTTTATTTTTTTTAAATATGGGCCTGTCTAATTGAGTTAGACAATGTAGTGTCCTTTTTAGTTCACTGATTTTATAAGTATTTGGCATAAATTATCTACATAATCTCATAAAGATATAAACTGCCCCTGAAAATTAATAATATAATATCTTGGAAACTTTTGGGTAAAATTTATTGTGACAATGGCTCAGAAAATAGAATATATTTAAACTGATAGTTTCTTTGATATTTTATCTAGTGCAACTGCATTTATGGATTTTTACGCACGACTTGCATCCACATACCTTTTGGGGCCACAGTAGCGTATGTTACACACACGTAAACTAAAACATGACTACATATAATAATAGAGTCTTGTATCACACAAATCTTTAACCTTGATGGGCGTATATATATATATATATATATATATGAATGTAAATGAGCACTCAACTATTGCCAAAAGCACACATTGTGTACAATATCATGATTCACATAAGTAAATACCAGACCATTTTGCAATTACCATCAAGATTTCATAAGTTATCAAGAGTTTTGAACAGATTTATAAAATGTGTTATAAAACACTACACCATTTGGCTCTTAATCTTGGTCCTGAAGTAACGCTACACTGCACATTTATTCGTACTCCTCTAATTCTTCTCCTGAGGAATAATTTGGCTGAATTCAGGATAACATACTGTCATACCACTCTTACTTTTTTAGCCATGCACAGATATAGCGGACAAAGTAAGAGTAGTGTGATAGTACCCTATTGTTTTGAGAAATCCTGTATGCTTTTTGATAGTTTGCTGCCTCCCTGTGGTTCAGTGATACGCTGCCTAGTAAAGCAACCTTTTAAAACGGTTACTTTAGAGTTCCGATATATAGGCTAATTATGATATTAACGTACAGTTCATTATTTGATTCAAAAACCTGATCTTCAAGGAAAAGGCCACCATATCTTACTAATTAGATCAGCCGCTGTAAACCTGTATTACACAATTGCGAACACTAGATGGCGACAACCTCGTATTTATGAAACCGAAAGACACTTGCATTATATGATGGCATATGTGATGCATTTGAGCACAAACGATTACTGGTTTGATTGTGCGGTCTAATGCAATGAAATTGAAACACAAGTTTGACTTAAATGTCCAAATCCTGTATATGAGCAGGAGGCTGTTACTGTAGATGATGTTAAAAGCAGCTTAAAGATGGTCCAGGATTTCTTTTATATCAGCTTCACCCAAATAATAAATAAGTTGAGCCGTAGTGCAGGCCTGACAATGGCAGTGCAGATGGCAAATTTAAAAGCGCAGCAGGAGTTTTGTTGCCTCATAATGTGAAACCACTGCACTGACCGTGACTCTCAGGCTGTTTCTGAACAAACCAGACAGAGTTATTGTAAAGAAGAAAGCGTAAATGTAATCATACGAGACCTGTTGGTACAGTTTTACTCCAGTATTTCTCAGAGTAGATTTACTGTATTTCAAAGTCAGTTTCTGTATAGATACAAACCTTAAAGTCTTGCAAAAAAAGCTACTGAACATTTTTACCATTACTTTCCAAGAAAAAAAGGCACTGACTAAATACTGATCTCACAGCGGGGCATGTTGTCACAGTATAGAGGTAAGTTGTCACTATGGGATGTTGTCATTATACATAAAGCAATATAGTCATGAAACGGTGAACTAGGAAAGGATAATGTATAAAATCTCAAACCACTGTTTTCGGCCAGCAGAAATTTCCTGAGAATGTTTATTTAGTTGTTTGTTAAATGTATTCACTGAATAGTCGACCTTTGCATGAATATCGCATGATGTAAATCTCACAAGACTTTTCTCAGAACAAGTGTAACCACTGCGTCACACAGCAGCTACACGCGCCCTTATGAGTGAGCACTGTGATAATATGACTGCACTAAATATGTGAGCACATCATCTGCACTGATCGGCGACGCTGCACACAGTACGCACTACACGCACTGGAGCTGATCTACAGGTACAGAAGATGGACGTGAAGGACCAAAGCGCGCAAATGGAGCCTCTGCTGCCCGCGGTAAGACGCTCTTTAATCAGCCGTGTTAACACTGCAGCGCGCGGCATCGTATGATCTGATTGCATGCGTGCGTGAGAGACCTTGACTTTGACTAAATGACTTGCGCTCGTGCGTGTTCTGCGCCTCTGCATTTCGAAGGAGACGCATGTTACAGTTGCATTCTGCTGCAGTGCATGTTGCAGATCAGGACGCATTTTACTAATGCGTTCACAGGTTCATCGTAAATAATTTTAACGTAAAATGTCTGTATTTACATGCAAGAGGCATCAAACGTCATTAAATGACATCTTGATGAGAAAGTTGATTTGTACCTTGAGTGAACTTGAGCAAACTCAGATGTGAGGAAAAATCGGCAGAAAGAAGAGATTATATTATGCATGAAAAAAAGAAGCCTATTGAAGTTTGCATTGCATTTTTCAGGACGGTTAAGCATACATTTCCTGCCAAATTCTCATTACTGTAATGTGAAGGAGTATGACGTGTTATTTAAATGGTAAAGTATTTATACTGTACATCATGGAAATATTTGATGGACTGTCTTTAATTTGTTGATTTTAATAATTATATTACACTTACTGCACTACAATGATTGATTGTAACTCAGTAACATTTTACTGTAGTACAGTAGAAATAACACTGTAGTACAGTAATGAGAAGCTGTTCAGTTGTCATGAAAATAATGTAACTTGATTACATGTAAAACAATAATTATAATTAATTATAACTATGTAATTATTGTACGTTTTAATGGGCTTCATAATAGGATTGACATTTTTTCTTGCATTGTGACATTTTCATATCAAATAAGCACATTTATCCCTCAGATTTTAATTACTGTTATGAGTACAGATATTTTACTGTTATTTTTATAATTGCTATTAATATTCAAGTATTAAGATTTTTCATTTTATATATTTTGTAGATAAAATAATTTTTAAATATATGAAATATTTTGTTATATATATATAATTTATTTAATATTTAGCATTTAAAACTGTTTATTTTTAATTGAATATTGTATATTCAATTACACACACACACACACACACGCACACACTCATATACATATAAAAATATATAAAATATACATTTACTTAACCATCTTTAACTAGCACATTCCTGTGAAAAATAATGTTTTTTTTTTTTTTTAAAACGAAGCATTAACACCTGTTAGACTGCACCCCATAAACACAATCAAGCCTAGAAAAAAAAAAGTCAACCACCCCTTTAATGTTACATTTCCTGTGCTTTCTAAATATAAAAGTGATATTGCAGTAGATGTGAGTCTATGTTTATTCTGGGAGCTAATGATTCTCAGAGATCAGGTTTGACAGATGTCAGTGTCATTTTTATTTACAAGTCAGATGAGACTCGCTGTGACTGTAGATTATCTGTGACCCCGGAGCAATAGATAAGGCAGCGAGGTCTTTCATGATATATAATGTTTTAATGACCACATCCCATCAGTTATATATAAAATCAGTGGATTATATGAGCTCAAAAGCCCAAGACCAGTAAAGTCATAAAGGCATTTAACAGATGCTACTCAACTGGTTTTGCCTCATTTTCCTTTGGGCATCAAATTGTGACCCAAAATTTTCTTAAGATCAGATATATTCATATTTATTAATATAGGGTTTAAGACCCACCAGTAGAGGACCACTGATCTAAAGTGGCTTTCAGTAGATTGTGAGATCACCGCTTATCAGATATATAAATGTGGCATAGTTAAATGTAGAACAGCAAAACATTATTCCTCTCCGGTTCCTGCATCAATAAACCCTGTTTGCTTCATATTAGCAGTCCAGATCTTTGGCCATAAAGCTGCTGCTGCTGCTGAAGCTCCTGCTGGCTGCAGCGTCTCAGACAGGCCTAGATTTATCAGGCTGGAGCTCATTTGCACTTGTCCAGCTGCAGTGGACTCTATTTTTGTTAGACGTGACAAATGGCATCCAAGCCTGGCTGTGGTTCATTTCTGAGAGGAGTTTCTGACTGAGTGAGATGAAGAAGTTTCTGAATATGTATTTCAGCAAGTATGATACATCATTTAGTGACGAAAGGGCTTAAATCACAGCAGAATCAGACCATTAACTTACAGAAGTAAATGCAAGCAGATGAACACTTACTGGACTGAAGCAGTTTTGGTTTACTTGATTATCCATAGATCATTTTTTAGAAAAAATCACGTTCAGATGTGATGATCAAATATGATCATCAGGCTTTTGAAGAACGTTTGAGGAACGTTTATCTCTCAATCATTGCATTGCATTATATTTTTTGATCATAAAACTAAGCATTGAAATATCATCTTACTAAGACATATTATTGGAGATGCAGTGTGAAAACTTTATATTTATATCATTTTATGTAAGTATTCTGTTATGAAGATCTCAGAATTTCTTCTTACTTTTTGTCCATATAAATATCAGCATCTGTACCAAATATTGTTGCTCATTTTGAGCCTCTGAATAAAATTGAGGTGTTCTTCCTCCATATTCTCACTATAACAGACTATATGAGCCATAAAAGCCTGATGTATCAATTATGAAACTCAACAAAAAATAAACTGATAAACTGTTCCATAAACAAAAAAAGGATTTTTCTGACTATTGTTTATGTCAGGCTTTACAGTGTTACGGTTAGTATACTATGATATATTACTAAAGATGTAGAGTAAGACTTATGATCTTAAGATATTAGGGAGACGTAAAACAGCAGCACTGAATTCAAAGTCCCTTTAGACCAAACCCAGTGACCCTGAGCGACCCTGAGTGTGTTTGTGTGTGTTGGAGACTTGTACTTTCTACACCAGAAAATGCAGAAAGTATACGTTTAATCATTCACACTAGCACCTCTAATCACCTCAGAACATTTCTTTTCATTATTAATCCAGTGTTGGTAGAAAAGCAGCTTTTGAATGACCCTTAAACAGTCTTGAACAGGTTTGTGTTTAAAGCACATTAGCACATGTGTAATTAGGATTATCTGAGGTATCAGTCATTTGTGTGAGGCTTTTCATTTACAGCACGTGTTATTTAAGGATTTGTGACGTGATGCATTTTCTATCTGGATCTATTGAATTGTTCAAAAATATATAAAAAAATTAATTTATACAGACAGTGACTTGAATACACCTTAGAGTCATGTTATTGAATTAAAATTAAGTTTTTATATGTATGTTATATGTTTTCTGTGGCACTTCAACAAAGGTTGTGGTGGAACAGTAAATTAAGTGGTTTGATGTATTATTTATTATTATAATTTTTTTTAGAATAATTTGGGGTAAAAGCAGTAAAACAAATTCATATAAATGTAAAATATTATCAAATATTTTATCATATATAACACTTTCAAATATTTATATATTTAAATATTATTTTTTGCATTTTAATATCAATATTTTGAATTATTAGAATATTATATTAAATATTATTCAATATAAATTGATCATATTTTAATTATTTATTTATTAATTGTTTATATAATTTATATAAATATATAATATTATATACATATTATTAAATATTTAAATATTTAATATATACATATGTCATATTATTCAATATTATAATATAATTTTATATACATTTATAATATTATTCATATTAAAACTTTTGTCTGCCAAATCAAAGTCAGTGTGGTGTAAAGCCATTTTTGGGTCATGTGACAAAGGCATAAAACAGGAAATGACATCATAAAAAGGACCCCTGTAGACCCTCATGATTATGTGTTAAGGTCAGTAATTTTCTTTAAAATATCTTTAATATATTTTGACCTTTTTTCTGACATGGCAGGGTTAGTTGAAATGTTAAATGGAGTAAGATGTTAAAATAATGATATTCATGATTTTAAAGGTCAAAAAAAAACAAAAACTAGTCATGAACGTGTGTAGACATGTATTTAAGGTAATGAAGTACTTTAGTACTACTTGGTCTTTATTTACGTTATTTATTGAGCTCATTTCATAATTTATGAACTTTAAACAAGTATTGCATTTTAAACTGTATATGTCTAAACCCCAGATATATGAAAGTTTAGCACATGAACTCAGAGCGTGTAGAAGATCTTTCAAAGGTTTCGTCTCTCACGTATCACAGGACAATATAATGATGGCTTTTGCAAAGCTCTCTGCTAAAACAAAGCTAAGCTTTATTATTCAGATTACACTGAAAAACATTTCCCGCTCAGCGTGAGTCCCGAGCAGACGGATAAAGCTGCTTATTATTGCTTAATGGAAAATAAACCGTGAGCAGCACAGAGACTGATAGCGATTATGTCACGCAGAAGCAGGTGAATTGTGCCTCCGAGACGATGATAGATGAGATCCAATTAAGCATATTGTTTGGACTAATCGGTTGTAGCTCGTAATCTCAGTATGAATGTACTGATATGTATGAATAGAATAAAAATCTATCCTAAGTCTTCTCGCAGTGTTTTTGGATAATCCGCTAGAGATGCTCATGTAATGGCCTTTAGCAGAGATTAAGCATAAACGCAAGGCTTCTGAGGTTGTTTTCAAACTAATTGGTGCTCTTTGGATATCCAGGATTATTGTGTTTGAAAGGGAAGATGTCCTGGCACTTCCTCTGTGAAACATGTCCTCTCTTTTTTTATGGGGTAAAATAAAATTAAAACCAGAAGAAATTCACTCAATGCTGCATGCCCAAAATGTCAGATATGTGCAGTTTTATTTCCTGTAAATGTACATGCACATGCATGATTGTGAATGCTACTATATGGTGTTCGTTTAATATGCTTTTGTAATCCCAGCCACAGTTTAGATTAAAACCAGAAGAAATTCACTCAATGCTGCATGCCCAAAATGTCAGATATGTGCAGTTTTATTTACTGTAAATGTACATGCACATGCATGATTGTGAATGCTACTGTATGGTGTTCGTTTAATATGCTTTTGTAATCCCAGCCACAGTTTAGCTGCAATGAAAGCATGCAAATGTCATTTTAAATCTGAATTAAATGCATTTGCGTCACTTTTTCCGATTTTGAAATGCGTCTGACAGATGTCAGCAGAGTTCGCCTGTCGTTTGTATAAAGTTCAACATTTCACAACTTTCTGATACTCTCGCCACTTGCTGCGCTCTGCTGTCAATCCCACAATCCCACAGTTGCAAGCCTGTGACTAAACTGTCTTAGATAATGAAAACTCCAGCTGTCAAGAATGGTCAGATTCACCATGGTTTTTAACTATAAAGTTAATGTTGATTGATCAGCGATGTTATGGGTTATATCTTAAAATACAGTTAAATTACAAACCCCTCATTACTGTGTTTTTCCTTAAAAATAATAAGTAAAAAATGAAAATGCATAGTAGGGCTCCATGATTAGTCAAAGTAAAACCAAAATCACAATATGGCTTAGTGCGATTATCAAATCACAAAATGTGTGATTTAATAAATAAATATATGCACTGCATGTGTCCGAGTAAAGCGCAGCACTGTGTTCATTTACACATAAGCAGCTTATTATTACTAAATTAGTAATTTTTTGTCTAGTAATGTATTAATTACTATTTAAATTACTAGATAAAAAACAAATAAGAAATATTACTATATTTTAATAATAATAACAATTATTATTATTATCAAAATATTCCAAAATAATTATTTTATTATTAGCAGTAGTAGTATTAAAATGACTAGACAAAAACAAATAAGAAATATTTCTATATATTTTTATAATAATATATTTAGATTTTCAATTTTTAGATTTCCCCTAAAATAATGCAGCCCTAATGCATACTGTAAAAATGAAAAAAATATTACCTAACAGTGTGCACATTGTGCACTGTGCTGACACAAATCAGAACATTATGAAGAAGTCCTGAATATGTGTGAATGCTGTAATGTGCTAATTAATGAACAGGAATTATTAGAGTGAGTCAAAACAAATGACAGGAATTTGATCTGTAAATATTTGTATTTTGCAGATGGTCACCTCTCCTGGAAGACAAAGTGTGGTGAGTCGAAATATTTAATACACTTTGTATTTTATGATGGTTGATATAACACACATTCTGCATGACTGTAGCATACATGAACAAATGGACTGGACTGACAAAGAAACTGCCAAAATATTTTGATCTGAAGGTTCAGGAACGCTGTTCCAGAACCTGTCAGCATAAATAATTTTCAATGCATCTGACATTATTCAATCTAATCACCGTGACTGAGGAAGGAGAAATCACTGCCATCCAAATCTACACCCAGTCAAAACTTAAAATCACAGTATGCTTAAACTCCTGCTGCAGCAGTTTCTTCCTTGTGTCATTTTTTCTCAGTATGCAGCTCTTGCATTCAGCAGCACTGAAGCTTCTAGACACCAAAAGGTCACAGAAGTTATAAATCTGTCATCTGTCAAAGGACACAGCTCACCACATGCTCAAATCTGCAGGATTTTAGTCGGAAAAGACCTTGAAACATCACCAGATGCGTAGTTACTGTAATCGAGTTGCTTATCAGAGCTTTATGGCATGTTTCCAAATCATTCTCCTTTGATCTTACAATGCAGCATTATTAGATGAGCTGCAGATCATTTATGTATTGTTTTGATAGACAGCACATTTTTGAAATGAGGAAAATCACAGCAGAAGATCAGCGATATGCACCGCACCGACACTCAAATGGAATCTGCTCTCGTCTGAGAGCGTTTGATCTGCTTCTATATTTGTGTTGAATCTGTGTTACACAAGCAAACGCCTGTACTCTCGTCAGACAGGGCCAGACAAAGGTGAAGGATGAACAGTTTTCAGAGTATTGCTTTTCATACAGGATAGTATTGTGGACCTGGAACAGCCGTGGAAACACAATTCTGTAGTTATGCTTTATCAGCTAGACATCATTCTTGCTGTATGTAGTAAAACTTACTCAGAACAAAGAATTTTTTAGAATTTATTCTTTTCATTAGCTCTGTTCCAAAACCATTTTAACATCATGTTAAAAGTTTAACTTGTCTCAAGTTCCCTGCATCAGATTTCATTACATTTCTTACTGGTTTTAAACACAAAAACAAAGCCTGTGTGACAGATTTGAAGAACTCCACAAAAGAAGCCACTTTAAATTTCATACAAATGAGAATCCTTGACTTGACTCAAAATTGATTCCAATAGAACAGCACACTGTACATGACAGTTAAAACAGTTCATTTTAAATACATTGAACTATTGTTTAAATCTAAACTTTTAAGTATTGAATGAAATACAAGTATATTACTAGTCAACGTTGGATGAATTTACATAACTGAATGATGAGAAGTTTGTCATTTATAAGTTAATTTAGATAAAAGCATATGCTCAAGTTAGAATTTCAGGGAGGATATATCAAACCAGTATGGGTCACCATACTTGGCCACATGTCACGTCACTTTTTATGGTAATACAGTACATCGACGGGCAGGACATCCAAACGCTTGAACCTATCATTCATCGACCTCAAATATGGCTTATCATCTGAAATATGTAAGTATTAGCAACTTTACATGGCCGCTCAATCTAATGTTAACCTAGAGAAATGTGCGCTATTGAAGTGTCTGTGTGGAAGCTGAACAGTAGCTCACTGCAGGACAGATGGAGGCACCAGTGCGCTTACTTGCTCTTAAAATACTCCCTTATTTTTGGTCATACAGATAAGAGTAACACATCTTTCGAATCTGTAAAGAGTCTGTTTATTTGTGTGCACTCACAATAACAACAAAATGCGCTTTTGTAAAATAATGAAAGCAAACAGGATGCGCTTTCTGCCGTCTCGGTCTCTCTGAACTTGAGCGCGAAACTCTGTGTATATCTTTGCCTTACAGACATTAAAAATATATCTATAGAGAGTTAAATGTCTACTTTCAAATGAAACAATT